GGCACTCTAGCACAGGCAACAGAGTAAGACTCTGTCCCCCCCACCACCCCCCCAAAAATTAAAGAAGTAGAGGTGTTTCTGCCAAAAAATTCCCCTAATTCTAGCTCACCGGCATGAATAAGATGTATATTTTTGGTTTGCCACTAGTGGCTAGGGAACCAGGGGTCAAACTCCACATGAAAATCCTTTGTGGTCCAGAAAAAGTCCGATTCTTCTATTCCTGTAGTCCACAGTGGGAAGCTACCCCAGTGGGTCAGAAAGTCTGCTGAGAAAAGATTATGCACACATGTGGCTTTTTATAATAAACATTGAATATTGACAATTTAAGTTTATCTTTTGCTTTTGTTTTTGATCATGTCATGAACATTCAAACTTTCTCTTTTTTAGAAAGTACAATGGCCCCCAAAAGTAATAGAGCATCTACTACTCTTGCCCATGTTGGTCCCGCATCCATCTTGCCACCTTTTTTCTCTGGCGTCGAGAAAACAGACCGACTGACCAGAACGCCATCACGGGTTTCTCGTTACTACCAGCATCGTGATCCTTAGATAAGTGCTGTCAGATTCCCAGATGATTTAGAATCTGGCTTCTGGACTAGCAGTGTCCCCATTACTCGGGAGCTTGTTAGAAATGCAGAATCAGGTCCCACCTGAGACCCACTGAATTAGAATCTGCATTTTAGGTAGATCTGAGTGAATCATGCACACCTATACATGTGAAAGATGAGAAATATTGCTTGAAGGGAGCCTCTGGAAGTAGCGTGCGGGACCTCTGAGGCCACAAGGCACTCACTAGATGAACCAAAGCCAGAGCTGACCAGCTCTGCTCTCCAGGACATAGACACCTCCTTCCCTTCCTTTAAGAAGCTGCTCTAGCTCACTGTGCCATGTGAGTGCCCCCTTCAAGACAGCTGATGCTAAATGCCAGCTGACTATGGCCCAAGTAGTTTACACCTTTGTTCAAAAGACCTGGAGTGGGTCCGACAGATAACTGATACTCTCTCTCTCGGGTCTGAAGAACTTCAGTTCTCAAGGGTTGGCAGCTCTGCCTTTCAAGTGCAACCCTGTTTGGATGGATGGTTCCCAGCAGTTCTTATGTGATCATAGATAGCCCAGAGGAAGCCTTGTGGACAGCAAGACTCTGGAAATGCCAACACTCTTCTTTGGTGTGAGCATAAACTTTTTTTTTTCCTCCCCTAGTCAACTGAAAAAAAATTTCACCGAAATAGGAATGAATGATTGTTAAGTGTCAGGACTAATTTACGTAAACCAGTCCCTTCAGGGTTTTCAGCCCATCTCTTTTTACATGTAAGAATCTGTGGGTGCAGCAGGAGCAAGGACTGCAGAATTCCTCCCTGTCTGCCTGTCCTCCTGTACTGCCTGTGTCTGATACATCTTCTTGCCTGCTGAAAATTTGGACCGAGAAGTTAAGTGTAGACTTGCCCACCATAGATGGGAGTGGGGATAGTGGTGGGAATGCTAGATTATTACATATGTTATGCTATCCCTTAGAATTCCAGGCAAATTCTAGTTCTGGTACTTCCTATACATGCTTCCGAACTGTACCTACTCATAAATGTAGACATTAATTTAGCATTGTATACATTGCATATTGTATTTTTAAAAGGTGTGGTCCCCAGAAGAAAACATTGAAACCTACAGCTAATAGGAACAGCACTGACACCTCGACGGGAGTCTCCCAGGTAGCCTGGTGGTTAAGCATGTGAAGTCTGCAGCCAGATGACCTGGGTTTGAATCCTGGCTCTGCCACTGACTGGGCAACGCTGGGCAGGGTCCTCAGCCTCTCTAGGTCTATGGTAAAGGAGGATGACGGTGATACCTAGCACACAGGATTATTACAAGGACCAAAGGAATTAATGTGTGTAAAGCTGCTTAAGACAGTGCCTAGCAGATAGTAAGTTAATGATATTAACTATTATTACTGAATCTGAAGGATGAGGAAATCATTTGGTTCAGTGGAATGCTGAACACAAGCCCGATGCACAGTGAGGTAGCCCCAAAGCAAGAACAGTGGGAGAGGGAGGGGAAGCCTGGCTGCAGGCAGTCTGTGGAGGCAGCAGTAACTCTCTGCATCATTGAACTGACTGTGCTTTAAACACAAGAAGTGAGAAAACGTAGCTCGATACATTTGCGTAAGGCTCGACAGCCTGCAGATCCTGGCCGCCTTCGCTTTCTCGCTTAATCTCCATAGTTTCTGTGTGAGGTGGAGCAAGTGTCATGTCCCCACTTTACAGAGAAGGACACCGAGGCTCAGCAGAGGTGGGGCCTTGGCAGAGGCCCCCAGCTAACCAGACCCCTGGCTTCTGGCCCCCAGTCCCGGTGTGTTTTCCACACAGCCTCTCGATGAACCTGCAGCCCCTGCACTGAGGGGCCTTAAAAGTCCTTCAGGCCACAGAGGACTGCTGCTCCTTCCCTCTTCTGCAAGGGCAGGGGTCAGCACCTCTTGGAAGAGCAATCAGAATATTTTCGGCCCCGAGGAATGGCCTCCCATGTGGCTGATGCGCTGGGACCTGTAACTAGGTGCTTTGGATTCCCATTTAAGGGAAGGTAGGGAAGAGGAGAGAGGGGAGGGGTTGGCCTGCTGGATCCCCTGCCAGGGGCCCCCTGAGCTGCAGAGAGGGAGGGTGTCGCGTGTTACCAATGGTCCTGGTCAGTGTGAATCACCTCAGTGTACCATGGAGAAGAACCTTTCCCATGGCACATCTCTTTAGGACAAAGATGGCAGGTACATAGACGCCTGCCACAGCTGCGCCCTCTTTATCTGTGGCTGCCACTGCAGACTGACCGTGACGTTTCTCACTGGACCGCAGCATCCTCCTGAAGCTCCAGGCAGCCATCACCTGCCAGTTCTGTTAAGTGAGAGGGAGCCCATTGGCCATTTCTCTTTTAAACGATTTGCTTTCAGTGCATCAAATAGTTACATTCATCGTTGAATTTCTGCATCTTCTTTTGCTGTGTAGGAGATTCTGGAGTCCGGTGGTGACAACAACATTTATGTTTTACCAGCTTTTTCAGTGTTACCACTCATTTGACACTTTCACCTTGCTTTGTCATGTAGCTCTTCCAAATAAAAATTGACCACCAAAATAGTAGTCATCGATGTTCATTGTGACAAGCCATCATTTTCTCTCTTTGGAGGCAAACTTTGTCTTTTATCCCATCCACTAAAATCTGGAAAGGAGTCAGTAGTAAGAAAAAGAGGCTTCTCTCTTCTCCACGGGATTGCTGTACCCTATCTGGATGGACGAGCTGAGATCCGCTCTTCCTGCCATTCCCGTCCACATTAGCAGTGTGTCTCTGAGGCAGCTGCACCTGCTGAGCTCTAAGGGAAAAGCGCGTGTCTGCAGTGGGCTGTGTGCACCTTGGCAGGACACATGCAGAGTGTGACCAACAATGCCTCGCAGATGGTTTTGTCCTAAGTGCCTTTGTAGGGCTCTGTGCGAGCTGCAGCTAGAGAACTTCAGAGTGAAGGGACTCTGCTTACCCTGTCCCCATTTCAGCATTGGGAGGGATTGGGAAGAAGGGGGTGGCAGGAGGCTAGGGAGGCAGTGCGAAAGAAACAGAACGACAGAACGGCCAGTCTTATTGTCAGTGTCTTAATGCGGTTAGTGTTTGGGTCATTAGGGCCACTCAGTGAAGTTGCCCTCAAGTGATTAAACCCTCTGTGAAGACGTTCTTCAGCCACGAGCAGGAGCTCGGAGATAGAAGCCTGGTTCTCTCAGACAGGCCTGAGAGTGCCAAAGGCTGTGGCTTCCTGCCTGCATGAGCGTGGTGTTCGTATTGATCAGGCGTAGCAAATGGCGCTCCATCTCTAACCAAAGACCAGCCAGTGCTTTGAAAAAATGTTTATTGTGACTTTATTGTGAATTTCCCTGATAATCATTATAGAGCATTTGGAAAATATGAAAAAAAGAAAAAAACCTCATAATCCCACAGTCTAAAAAAAAAAACCTTTTAATATATAAA